CAAATCCCAAATGTCCGCAATGTCCCAATATCTCAATGTCCCAATGTCCCAATGTCCCAATATCCCAAATCCCAAATCCCAATATTAAGAGAAGGCTAGGATATTTTATACCGTGGGGGTAGTGGTAAAAGCTTTAGCTGATAGGTACTTTGTGGGATACCCTATTTACATATGGAAGTGGGCTCCTGCCAGGCTGCTAGACTGCCAGAAAAATCACACAGGAAAACCTGGCATTTCCAGAGCCGGAGGTCATGCTTCTGTGGCGGCTACTTCAAAAGACGAGTCAGGAAGATGCTGGGAAGGTACCCTGATGAAAAGGAGTCTTCTGCATATGAAACCGAGCTCATGGGCTGTCCAGACATGGAGAGACTACTACTTCACAACAGGGGTCCCCAACAACAGGCTAGGCAAGCACTGTAGGACTAAGCCATATCTCTATCCCTAGGCTAACATTTTCTTAACACTGAAATGAAAATTTAAAAGTTAAAAATTCTCAGGGGCTGGAGAGGTGGCTCAGTGATTAAAAGCACTGGCTGCTGTTATTATAGAGGACCTGGATTCAGTTCCCTGTACTCACATGGCAGCTAAGAACCATCTGTAACTGGAGTTCCAGAGTATCAACACCCTCTTCTGGCCTCCACAGGCATTGTAAGCACATGGTACAGTCACATACATGCAAGCAAAACACTCATACACACAAAACAAAAGTAAATTTTGAAAAAACCTTAAAGATTAAAAGTTTTCAAGACTTTGAATACCCCAGTAGGGCTCAAAGGCTCAATACTCATTCCCATATTGTCACCTTGTACATATATGAAAAACCCATATAGTGAAATGTTGAGCCAGGCGTGGTAGTGCCCGCCTTTAATCCCAGCAATCTGGAGGTGGAGCAGGTAGATCTTTGTGAAATGAAGACCAACTTAGTCTACAAAGGGAGTTCCAGGCCAGGCCAAAAAGACCAAAAAAAAAAAAAAAAGAACAGATTCCTTGACTTGGTATCTTTTAAAACATTTTTCTTGTTATACATGAATTATTGGTAGCTTTACATAATTAAAAAAGGCTGTAAGTTTAGTTACTCAAATCAATCTGATTCATTTTCTCCTCAATTTTGAAGACATTTTCAAATATTACCATCAGCAATTATTTTCTTTCAGATCTGCTGTGCAGATGTGTGGGCTTGTCAGTCAGGTGCCCTGCCCTGTGTACTGCCAGCCTGCAGTTCCTGTCTGTTCTCTTGGCTGAGGAAGAAAAACAGCGTCTCCAGGCCAAGGACAAAACGAGCACAGACCCTTCTCCAACAGTGGCTTCACTTCTTGATGACACTCAGGAAAGTCATAAATCTTCAGAGCGACTTAATGAAATAATTCTTCAGGTATGTATGTGATTTCTTGATTTTTTTCTCTTCCAGACTTTGTGTCGTGTTTAAATGAATTGACTTTCAGTCTTAATCATACTATTTTTTCAAGAAGGAATTAATCTAATTATGACTGTTTAAACAATACAAAACTGAGTAGATTCACAATTATAGGCAGGACTAACAGATTTACCTAACTGAAAGATGCACATTGTTTTTCACAAGTAGGAGTATTACTGGGGATCTCTCTCTCTCTCTCTCTCTCTCTCTCTCTCTCTCTCTCTCTCTCTCATTTATTGGAGACCAAACTCAAGATGTCATGAATGCTAGAAAAAAGTTCGACCACTGAGCTGTATCCCCAGCCCTTGTTCTACCTTTTGCTTTGAGGTAGGTTCTTGCTCTGTTTACTAGGCTGGCCTTGAACTCACCCTGTAGTCTAGACAGGCCTTTGAAATGGTGATCTTCCTGCCTCAGTTTCCTGGGTAGCTGAGATTATAGTTTTGGACTATAAGTACTGTCTTACCAGATACATGAGATCCTCTCTCCGAGGTTGGTGGGAGGGCATGAGGGGTATACTACACCTTTTAATACCATTTTGTGATTTTTTTTTTTTTTTTTTTTTTTGGTCTTTTTGAGACAGGGTCTCCCTGTAGCCCTAGCTGGCCTGGATTCGCTATGGAGAACAGGCTGGCCTCAAACTCACAGAGGTCCGCCTCCCTCTGCCTCCCAAGTGCTGGGATTAAAGGCGTGCGCCACTATGCCCTGCTTTATGATTTTTTAAAAAATCTCACTGAAAGGTGGAAAGATGGGAGAATCGTGAAGTGAAGGATTTGCCAGATAGCTGCATTTTACAAGATCATTCCATCTACTGATTTGTGATGGCCTTTGCTGCTTACAATTTTGATTGTTGTCTCTCCTTTTGGCTTGGGAGTGTTGTGCTAAAGAAGATATTTCTGGCATGACTACTTGTACATTTTTAGTACCAGCTTCAGTTATATGGGGATGTGGAAAAGGCTGGTAGAAAGGCAGAAATGAGGGGGAGACAAGAAGACGATGGAATAGATGTCATGAAAGCAGAACGGGATGCTGCTTAGAGGGACCAGCAAGAGAAGGAGAGAGGTGGTAGAACAGAGTCTAATGATACATATGTATGTCACAGTGGCACCCACTGGTATGCTAACTTGAAATTTAACTGAAGGCCACAAAAAAGACAGAGGAGACATTTTGTGGTCCAGCTGGAAGCTGCATGGAAAGGCCTACCGGCCTCCTTAGAGGCTTCTATCTCTTCTGCTCCACCTAGTCAGCCTGCTTTCCAGCACAGACAGACTGCAAAGCCTGGCAAGGCATTTCCTGCATTTTGTCCTCTGCTCCAGCAGTTGTTCGCTTCAGAAGCTTGGTCTTTAGGAAAGGAGTCCTCAAAGCCTACTCTAGAAGCCACTCATTGGCGAAGGCCACAGCTTCCTCATGGCTTGCTTTCATTCACTCAATTTTTTTGCAGTTAACAACTAGATGTGGTCCCATTTGTCTTGTTCCCTGTCAGGTCAACAGACTTCATTCTCCTGATGATTGCATTTTAAAGAGTATTACAAGCAAGAAAAAAAAGTGTCCCTCCACCCAATATAATCACTGATTTTCTAACTTTGGCTTTGTCAGAGTACTCTTTTTTTTTTTTTTTTTTTTTTTTTTTTTTTTTTTTTTTTTGTGGGCACACTTTCTTCTTTGGGGGATTTAAACGACTTCCCTCAGAGAAGAGTGCTCTGAGAGTCGTGTATAGCCTTTGCCTCCTCTTGCCCACCCGAAAACCAGAAACTCTGGGAGCCTGGCTGCTTTATGCAGCCAGTCCTTCTGGAGCTGGTAAAACTGGGCTTAGCGGATGTCTTTCTTCCCCATCAGTTTTCCACTCCACGTTCAGATTCATGTAGGATGAGCCAGCTTGTAATAAGCTTCTCAGGGACAAATTCCATGCCAGAGGAGTTTGTGAAACTATTTGCCTTGCTCTTGTGCTTCCCTAACACTTTATTTGTTATAAAGGCAGTTTATTGCTTACCATCTTTTGGTGTTACCGTCTTGGCAAAAGAAAACGAGGTATTCTGTAGTCATAAGATATTTTGATTTTGCTAATGCTTAATTTTTCTATTTCTTCTAAACTGTAAAACATAGCAAGATGCATTCCATTCTTTGTGGCTATGAATAGATTAAAACAGGTTTCAGTTATTTAAGACATATTTCCATACTCTCCTTGTTCATGTAAACAGTAGAATATGGATACATAGAATCTGTTGAATAAAAGAGCCTGGGTAAGTTTAAGATAAAGAATAAAGAAATTTTTATCTGTGTGCACATTTTAGAAAATGTGTACTTGAGACTGGAGAGATGACTCACCAGTTAAGAGCACTGGCTACTCTTCCAGAGGACCCGGGTTCGATTCCCAGAACCTACATGGTGGCCAACAACTGTCCGTAACTCCAGTTCCAGAGGAATCCAACATCTCTGACGTCCATGGGCATTGTATGACATAGATGTGCTTATACACATACAGGCAATATACTCATACACATAAAATTAAAATAATAAAATTTAAAAAAGAAAATGTTGCCTAATTTAAGGTGATATAGTTATTAATGGTACTACTATTAAACTATGGGCACTTGGCATTCTTTGCCCTACATATAAAAATAAAGAGCAGACTTGTATGTCATATTTTAGTGAATTAAATATCAATAGAATGCATTAAACAGCAACACATTATTGTAAATAACATGTGTGTTTTACTATATGTTTATGTGGGTTGAGGGTTGCACCAAGTGTTAGAAAAATAATCTTGTGTCTTCAAATTATCAAGAGGTAGTATAGTATTTTTAAACTGATGTTTTTCAAATGCATATTTAAAGTCTTTGTAACACTCTAGTCCAAGGAATATTAGATGTGGGATCTTAGGCAAATCATTCAACCTTTTCTGATTGGGTTCTTCAAATGGAAAAGAGAGGATTTTATTATATCACTGATACGTTTCAGCTGCTTCCAAAATTCTCTGTCTCCTAGAAAATTGTTGTATAGAAAGTTAATTAAATTATCTTGTCATAATACCTTCTAAATGACTGCTTTATAACACTGCACCATTAGTGATTATATACTGAAATTGTGCACACTTACATCATAGATATGTGCAAGATTATATTTTCTTAAACTCATCTCACTGTAGTTTCAGAATTTATTCTCTATGAAATTATTAGCTTTACTTTATAAAATATTGAACACATTTAACTTAATGAAGTTTTACCCTTCCTATTTTATATATGTGTATGTATATATATGTGTGTATATAAATATGTGTATATGCATATAT